TGCCTTCTGATTCATCACTATATCTATATGACCAGGTCTGACCGTCTGAGGCATTGTCCAACTTTCAGATGTAATTTTTGCATACGGCAAATGGATTCAGAACTGCAGACACTATTCATAACACAAAGGTAACCATATCTTCCAGCGTTTAAACACTTATTTACATTGATGCTTCTGTTAAGAAAAATATACCATACGTACTAATTCAATTGCTGATCGATTGCAAAAATATATCATGGAAAAAACATTCTCTTATTCCATAAAATTTTCAGGCTGCAAAACTGCAATGCTAATCTTCTCTTTTTAACTCATGACACATGAACAACCTACCAACAACAGTTCTTCTTCTCCTAGATTGTAACCCATGCGTTTATCCTCCAGATGTGTTCCCTTTCATATTATTGAATATTGACCCTTTATATGACCATCATGTTATCCCTTCTCCTAACACAAAAGTTGGACTACCGCATCTGGAGGCTCCTAACATAAAACATCATGGCACTAAGAACAACATCCAAATTTAGTATCATCATATTATTAATTGCCAATTTTGTTTGATTTACGAAAAAAAATCCTCATAGACATAGCACTCTTGAAAGTTGAAACAACATAAAAGTTTTTGATTCATATTCAAGTTATTACAATTTATCTGATTTAGCTATTACAATGTTCCGCAACAACGCAGCGGGGTATCATCTAGTACTCTATAAATCCTTATATTTCTGGATAATTTCAAATATTTGTAATGCTTATATTTGTATACAGAGAGAGTAGCTACCTTTAAAAAAAATTGAAGCGAGAAGAAGAGGGCAATAAAATTAAAGGAGAAGGTTATGTTTTATTCTTATTTTCTTGACATAAAAGGTGAAGGTTATGATCGATCGAGATAAAGAAATCAAATATAAGATGGTTGTAGTTAGTTGAGATGAATGAATAAGTGAAGTAGCTGTGTATATTATATTTAGGACAAATTTTAAATACTAAATGTGCCTATATATATTTTAAGATAGAGAGAGTAATAAAATTGGCACTAAGGTGGATGTTGCTCTGCCATTGTAGGCCACTGGGATGAGCTTCTGGTGGTCTCCATCTACGTTTGTGTATTGTGTAGTATTATGTTTACTAGAAAAAGTATCCGTGCATTGCAACGGGTAAAGTCGTTTTCCCAATAATACATCAATAGATATTACAAACTATAATAAGATTAACTTTATGTGAATTTATAATCTAGCTACCTTGGTCAAAAAATAAATCCACCTAATGAAAACATCTAGCTAAATTTCTCGTTGGTTTCATTTTGTTACAATTGAATTAATAAGCAGTCATAAGATTTTGTAACAACTTTAAGCAATTAAAGTGGTACCAATGCTATTTCTATTAAAAAAACTCAAAACAAGCTAGAAAGCTCACCAAGCTAAGTGGTGGCAGCGTGTGGCTCCGATTGTGTGTGATTCCAACCTAACTTGACTTCGCATGCGCGGTCCATGAAGCGCACCGGCCCAGGGGTGACACTGGCTCGACGCGAGAGGGACCGCTCAGATTTCCCCAAGTCAATCCCCTTTCCTCCTTATCAGGGTGTCGCTGCTGCCTCACTCCTCGCCAGATCCGGCCTGAGACTCGTTGGATATAGCCTTGAGAGGCGGTGGTGCATGGCGTAGCTCGACCGAGCCACCGCCAGCGGCTACTCCGCGCACCCTCCTCGCCATATATGGCCATGGGAGGCGGTGGCGGTAGCTCGAAGGTGGTGGTGGTGGCTGAAGTTCGACGGCGGCAAACTCATGTTGCTCGTGTCTCTGGCGAGGTCCGACGACGACGTGAAGTTGATTGGGAGCACATGCGATGAATAATGCCATGTGCGGCCGAAGATCGAAACCGGTGAGACCATGACTTTTGTGATTGGATTTTTGCTCGATTTTTTTCCTCGTTTGATGCTCTTCAATTCTTGTATTTGGGATCTAATTTGAGGAAATTTGTAACCAAATTTTGTATGTTGTATATGCAAGTTCTTTTGGTTTAACACGAATTTGTTTAAGTTTAGTCCTATATATATGTAAAATCCCGACCAGAACTGATTTGACGTGGACTTGGGATGATTTTTGTGTGTTATTTGATACGGACTCGGGATGATTTTTATGGAGTGGACTCGGGATGTCGCGATCGGAAAAATTTAGGTGACTTTAAACGGAAATTTTCACCGGATTCCTTGCGTATTTTTTTTATTAGGTATAGATATTGTATTTGGGTTCTAATTTGAGGAAATTTTGTAACTTATTTTTGTATGTTGTATAAGCAAGTTCTCTTTGTGTAACACCAACTGGTTTAAATTTAGTCTCATATATATGTAAAATCCTGATCAGAACCAATTTGATGTAAACTCGGGATGATTTTTGTGTGTTATTTGATAGGGCACTGAGTTAGAGAATTTGTTTCCGTGGTGTAACATTGTATTGCCCGTGTGTTTTTTTAGTGGCTGCCTATTCAGATGCTCCCTATTTTTATTTTGATACATGCGTTGACTAACACTGTAAGAAAATAAGAAAAAGAAAATTCTAACAAAAAAAGTGAAAAAAATGGTTCATCAGGATTAGTAGCACTATTTGCATTAGGTGGTTCCAAACTTCCAATTGGTCCAAGAAATAAATAACACGTCCACCCAGGTTCGACAGGTCTCGACCCTATGCGTGCACTCTGTTCATGCACAGTTTTTCTTGGAATAAGTTCACCGAAGGTCCCTCAACTTAACATCGAGATTTTTTGAGGTCTCTTAACCACAAAACCAGAAATGTGTAAGTGAGAAGGAAATCAGAAGGGCCCACTTGTCAGCATCATCCTCTTCCTTTCTATTTTCTTCTCCTCTTTTCCCTTTTCTTGCCGCAGAGGGGAGAGCTGCAGCAGTCGCCACGGTGGCGAGCGGCGGCGGCGAAGAGCGGAGTCGGCGGCGGGCGAGCATGTAAGTGAGAAGGAAATAGGAAGGGCCCACTTGTCAGCATCATCCTCTTCCTTTCTATTTTCTTCTCCTCTTCTTCGCTTTTCCCTTTTCTTGCCGCAGAGGGGAGAGCTACAGCAGTCGCCGCGGCGGCGAGCGGCCGGAGCGGCGGCAGCTGAGAGCGGAGTCGGCGGCAGGCGAGCGTGTAAGTGAGAAGGAAATAGGAAGTGCCCACTTGTCAACATCATCCTCTTCCTTTCTATTTTCTTCTCTTCTTCTTCTTTTTTCCCTTTTCTTGCCGCAAACGGTAAATATCTTCAATTTTTATAATAGTAGAGAAGTAGAGATAGAGAAAAGGCATTTAAAGAGGCTATTGAATATACTCATTACCCAATGGGAGCAGGACGAGGAGAGAGAATCCGAATCTGTGAACATTCAGGCTGTGTTCTTTGCTTCAAGTTCCCAACCCCTCTACCTCGTTTTCCACGTGCACGCTTTTCAAACTGCTAAACGGTGTGTTTTTTTTACAAAAAGTTTATATACGAAAGTTGCTTAAAAAACAAATTAATCCTTTTTAAAAAAAACTAGCTAATACTTAATTAATCATGCAATAATACGTGATGGGACCCCTCCTCCCGAACACAGCCCTTAGAGGGCCGAACAGTTTGGATGGATAGAAGTGCCCCTCTTCCTTTTGAAAGAGGCAGGCGATTCAGATTCTGCTTTCTTGTGGCCTGACTTTTTATCATCAATCAATTTTAAAAAAATTCAATATATACCCCTGAAAATTTACTCAATCCCTTCAATACCCCTGGCTTTGACCTCATCCCTTATATATACTTGAGTTTTCGTTTTTATCTCCTCTATATACCCATCTCCGTTAGTTGACCGTTAAATATTTTAATATAACTATATTACCCATCCTATACATATGTGGTACCTACCCAATAAATTTTCGTATGAAAAAATTAACTTATACAAAATACAAGCAATATAATCATTTAATGCCCAACTAAAAAAATAAAACTTATTATTTTTTATTTTTTAAAAATTATGATTAAATCCATACATTAGTTTCACCATAAAATTAAGAGCAAAAACTAAATGTTATTTAGGTTTAATTTTTTGGAAAGATATACGAAATTCATCAAATTTGATCTAAAATTTATTTAAAAATTTTAAATTTGTTTTCTAATTTGTGATAAACTAATTACATCCCCTTTGTTTTTTTTCACAACGAATCTTTTTTCACTAAATATTTGTTGAAAAGTAATTTTCAAATTTTATGCAGAACTTTTTTTATAATAAATCTTTTTTATTTTAATGAAATAGTGTTTTATTTTTAAAAATTCATAACAAATATTTAGTAATTTATTCCTTATTGGTTTTCACAACTCAAATAATTTACACATAAAACATTTCTAGCTTTTAACAATATACCAAGGACAATAAAGTAATTTCTACAATAACTAACGGTCAAACTAATGATCAACTAACGGAATAGGTATGTAAGAGATCCAAATAAAAACTCAGGGGTATATATAAGAGATCAAACTATAAGGAATTGGGTGAAATTACAGGGGCATGTAGGGAATTGGCCCAACTTTGAGAACATCAACTTTCCTTATGGTCTGGAAGCGCGGAAGCCGATAGCTGTGGGCCGTGGAGGTGGTCTAGAACTCAGGATGTATCAGATCGTTGTCTGTCCTAGGCTACTACAGAGTATATTTTAGAGTAAAGTGTACGGGCGGTCCTTAAACTTATAAGACTTGGATATGTCATCTAGGTCTCTAAACTCTCAAAATGCATATCCAAATCCCAAATCCCAAAACTTTTCATAGTGTGTCATTTAGGTCCCAAATCACCACAACTACTTCAGAATCCTATGTGACATTGATGTGGCATGCCACACGAACATGACATAGCATTATTTTGACTGACAAATGAAACCCATTTAATTTTTTCCTTTTCCTTTTTTTCTCTTTTCCCCCTTTCTCCACCTTTCACTGTGACCCGTGCAGGAAAAAAAAGGAAAAAAAAGAAGAATGAGAGGAAAACAAAAAAGAAGAAAAAAAAGAAGAAGAAAAGGACACGTCAAGTCCATGTGGCATTGCCACATCAGTGTCACATATGATCCTAAAGAGGATATGTCAATTTAGGACCTAGATGATACACTTTGACAAATTCTGGAATCTGAATATGCATTTTAAGAGTTTAGGGACCTATATGTCATAATCCTACAAGTTTAAGGACCGCCAATACACTTTACTCATATAAATATATATACACATGATTGGTGTTCTATGAAGCACATACCAATATACCATACACGCACAAACCTATAAACACACGATACCAAAAATTCTTATAATCGCCCCGTGTTGGAATTGCTTGTGATCAATCAGAACATCTTGGGCTTGGACGGTGCGAGCATGGCGAGGTGAAGAAAGCCGCACCCAAGCAGCAGAAGCAGGAAGGACAGGAAGACCGCCACCGGTTCAGTGACCAAGCCAGACCACAATGCCAACACTGATAAGACCATCAGGGCGTAGCCGCTCCAGGCCAGACTGCCCTCATCCGGAATGGCGTTCTCCTCCTCCATCTCTGCATTATTCACCATTCCATCCCTGCACGTTGCAAGAGTAATGTAAGTTTTGTATGGTTACACCCACAACCCAATTTGTGAATGGTGTGTGAAACTGTTTACTCGCATGGGATCCCATATGGCATGAACATGACACTGAGGGTTTCAGGGCAGCACACACGAGTTATGTAAGAATAAAACCAATTATATGTGAATTAGGAAAATATATCAGATCCCGTGGTCTAGATTTTCAACAAGTCATGGTTGATCCATTCCCTGCTTTTATAGGATGGTTTGCAACAAAAGAATTAGTGGTATGTGTCTTAACGTCCTGTGCTTGCTGGCGCTGCTACACCTTGGCTGTTGTTGCCACCGTGCTGATGATAATATACAGGAAAAGCGATTTGAAAACCGTAGAGCCTGAGGCAGCCGATGAACCAGGTCATCAACGCAAGAAGCAGCAGAGGCCACGGCACATGTACCACCTGCCAAGGCAAAACCATCATCGGGGCTGCACCGAACAGCATGAGACTGAACCCTGACCAATTAAACTGATGGGCACCATTGGCTGGCACCCCGCGGTTATGGTCAGGGCCTGCATTCACCCTGTTGAGATCAACAAGCTGGCCACCACGGAGGTGGTGCACGTTGTGCATCAGCATCTGCATGTACAAAAACAACCAAACATGGTGAGTGACCATGTGAAATCACCACTATACATGGAAATTGATATGAGCAGAGCTTGTAGACGGAGCAAACAACCACCACATTTGTTCTGCTTTTACTCGATGTCTTGGAATTATTCCAGGCATGAATGATCCTTGTAGAAAAAAAAGAAAAGCAAACCACCACATACATATAGGTCGATTGTGTTAGGATGCCACTTAGACTGCTAGATTTCAGTGTTCAATTTATGGCTGAAACCAGCGATATAAAAGTGTTGAATAGTATAGGGAGAGGAATACAACTGCGAATATTAGACCATAGGCCCAGAACCGTGAGAAGATAATAATCTAGCTGTTGTGAACTTGTGATAAATCGAGTAAACACATACTCCCTCCGTTTCAAAATGTTTGACACCGTTGACTTTTTAGCACATGTTTGACCATTCGTCTTATTCAAAAACTTTTGTGAAATATGTAAAATTATATACCTACATAAAAATATATTTAACAATGAATCAAATGATAGGAAAAGAATTAATAACTACTTAAATTTTTTGAATAAGACGAACGGTCAAACATATACTTAAAAAGTCAACGGCGTCAAACATTTCGAAACGGAGGTAGTAGCAAATAACCACCCTGTACATATAGGCCGATTGTGTGAGGATGTACCTCAAAAGGCTCAAACTACCAGATTAGGATATGGATGAAACTGATAGTAATTAATGTAAAGAAGTGGTGAATTCAGATAGGGCAGTCCCAACCCATAGTGTCCATAAGCAGTATCTATGGTGCCATGTCAATAAGACATCACAATAGAAACTACACTCTACAACCCATGGTTTCTTAAAGTGGGTCATTAATAAATACATCATCTCTCTTCTCTACCAATCATATTTATTCTTCATCTATTATGAAGACACTATTATCTCCCAATGCAAAACTTGATAGTGTCTAGTGCATAGGTTCTCGTATTGAAACTGTGTCTTGCATGAGACCCAGGTTCTTCCTCTCTTCACTCTCTCTCTCTTAATTAATATAGTGCCACATAAGCTAAAAGTACTACATGGCAATGTAGTTAATGCCATAGACACCATCCTAGGTGGAGGGTTGGGACTACCCTAAGAATTAGCATGCAGATGGAGCAATAAATCAGGACAAATAACAAACAGGGCATATCAGAAGTAATGTACTACGAGTTCTCTTTAAACATCCATCCTGCCCAAACTCTATGTGAACCTGTGCAATAATAATCTAGTCTGAACTCACCACTGTGGCACGCAAGGCAGTAGATAGCAACAGTATTATAGCAAAATCGCAGCCATCAGTCGGCCAAATCGCGTACTTATCTACTAGAACGGAGCCCATAACACCAAAAGGGGGAGTCTAGTTACTGCAGAATCGGACAGATAGTACATCAACTGATCTACATGACCTTCGATATGAGATCGTATATAAATATCTGCATAAATTTCTGAATACCACAGGCTTATGATAACACAAATCACCAGGTTTTAAAGGTTAAATAAACATCAGATTTGAGGTAATATAAGCATTAGATTTGAGCAATATGTTACTTCACGAAACTCGTTTCGGGTAAGATCTGACCAGTGGGCCATTCCTGTCAGTCCCACATCCCCATTCATCTTTCCTCCCCCTTCCTTCTCCTGATCCCCTTGCAAATATCAGACAACGCGATCAATGGATCATCGCTCGAGAAGAGAGGCGCCGAAAGGGAATCGTCTCGAGCTCTAAGGTTTATTTAAATAAAACCCACAGCCATCGTTTTGCGTTATTCATCATGCCCCCAAAATTCGTGGTCTAATTTTTTTTTTTGTTTTCCGACCATACATATCATCTAAATCCGCTTCCCGAATCGAAGCTCTGACATACGTAACAACACACAAATCCCAAACAGATTGAACAGCACGGAGAAATGGATCGAAGGGGTTGCTCCGCTGGCGTACCTTGACGAGGACCGTGCGTGGGGTGAGCCTCGCGGAGATCGAATCGAATCGGTCGCGCGGTGAACGAGGGGCTCACCGTCACCGGAGAGACGACGAGGCGGGGGAGGGGCGGCGGCGCGGCGGGGGAGGTCTCCGCGATGGGCGGCGGCGAGAGGGGGGAGGGGGAGGAGTGGGAGATGCCACTGTGTCGGCTCGCGGAGAAAAGGGAAGAGGAGTTTCCTTCTCTCGTAAGCCTCCCCTGTTTAGAGCGATCTCAACCGTCCACCTCGCGATCTGACGGCATGTGCGGCCAGCAACAGCCTTGACACTTTTGGTTTGGGGTTTTGTCATGAGATGGGGGGTTTTAGGGGGTTTTAGATTTGCATTCAAGTGGATGAAAGTTGAATTTGAGCTTTTTTTTAAAAAAAAAGTAAATTTCAATTGAGTTGTTTTTTTTCTATCTACTAGGTAAAAATCTCTTAGCTAGTTAACGTCAGAATAGCGGAGTTGAGTAAGATATAGATGAGTGGCATGACAAGTGATAGCCGTTCATGATCTTTATCCGTTGCTAAAACTTACTTCCTCCGTCCCAAAAAAACTTAACCTAGGAGGAACCCCTCCTAAGACAACGAATCTGGACAAACAAGAGGGAGTGGATAACAAATAATCCCACTGAAGACTGGCTTTTCCGACCTTCCACCAAATCCTAGGCAATCTCAGATCGTATGGATTTTGAATTACTATTCGTCGTCTCGCAATAATAACATGTGAGACTTCTAGCAATAGTGTGAATTGAGCTCTAATCGTAAATCTTTTTTCTTCCACAAATACGTAAAAGAATTGCACGTCGGTATATTAGAAGAAATAGAGTTTTAAGTTACGCAACACAACCGATCAGACTGGTCATTGCCGGTTACCAGGAAAGGACTTCGAACGAAAAAACAAACGCTGAAAGATGTTAGCTCTAATCATAAATCATCGAGTCCTACCTGTAGTGAGAGTAATAACAAAAGCAATACGAGGAAAAAAGGAAAAAAAAAACCTTTACATAATCGTAATAAGTCTATGAATTGCTTGGCAGGGAAGACGGTGAGAGCAGCAGCCAAGAGCAGAGTAGACAGATGATGGAGATTAAACAACGAGCGCTAGAGGCAGGAGTCGGTAAGCCCATGGCACGCGCTGTCCCTGTAAATCCATCGCCGACTCCACCATCTCGGCCGCAACATCCAACTCCAACTCATCATCGCCCCGAGCTTAATTAAGCTTCGCTGCTGCAGCTGCGTCATCTGGTAGAGATCCATATATGTGCGTATTTATACACAAGTTCTCGTCTAAACTTATATAATATGGTGTAATGGTGACCATGGGATTTCGGGCCTGTTCACTTTGATGACAAAAAAAAAAAACCTTACCAAATTTTGACAATGTCAAAATTTTGGCAACTATGCCAAAATTTTGGTAGGATTTCTTATATAGTTACCAAAATTTGGTAGCAAAATAAATATAACCACTTTTTTGACAACTTCACCAAAATTTGGTAAGATTGAAAATGCATCAAAGTGAACGGGCCCTTCATACAAGAGGAAACTGAGCATCTTGGGTCGTTTTCGTGTATGTGTGTTTAACTGGCAATGAAAAGGTCACTAACTAGGCTTGTTTGAAAACGATTGCCACTAATAAGTAAATTAAACCCATATAGGATTATGAAAAATTAAGGAAGCTACTCCTGGCTGAGTCATTGCCATCGTGTTTGCTCTAAACTGTGGATCCACGAGAAAAATACAAGTTCCACTCAACAATCCATAGCTAAATTGGCTTAATCCATGAGTTTTCAATTATATGTCTGTATAGTTACATTAGTCGTCTCGCTTGGGGCAAAAGAAAGAAGCTTCGAGTAATGGCACAGCCACTGAAATCTGAGGTTGTGGACATCAGTGAAGATCTGTTCTAATAATACAAATGCTAGTGATGGTACCAATAAGCCAGTCAAATTTTAGGCCTGTTACCTGTAACTTACTTCAGGTGATTGTGATCAGAGAGGGCGGTTGGGCCAAACAGCTAGTAATGGTACCAAACGAGTTTGGCAATGATAGCACCAATATGTCACTGAAATTCTAGAACCTCTTGTGCCTTGAGCAAAGTCTAATGGCACAAGCATACCGTTTTCTGGAAATAAAGAACACATATCCAGAATAAGCAGGATTGATTTTTCTGAAAAACAGGGACAAGTATCAAGAACAAGCAGGATGCTAACTAGAGTTGTTCTTAACATATATCGTGTCACGACGATGACTGAAACCCAAATGGGAACTTGAAACTAACACCATCACAAACTTCATTTGCGCAAAGCCACCGCCCACCAGGCGTAGCAAAACATCTGAACCTACCGGCCACACGGAGGCGGAGCACCAGGTGCAAGGTGGACTCCTTCTGAATGTTGTAATCAGCCAGTGTACGTCCATCCTCGAGCTGCTTGTCTGCAAAGATGAGGCGCTGCTGGTCCGGGGGAATTCCCTCCTTGTCCTGAATCTTCGCCTTCACATTGTCGATCTTGTCCGAGGACTCGACCGCAAGAGTGATGGTCTTTCCTGTCAAGGTCTTCACAAAGATCTGCATGCCTCCCCTGAGGCGAAGGACAAGGTGGAGGGTGGACTCCTTCTGGATGTTGTAATCCGCGAGGGTGCGGCCATCCTCTAGTTGCTTGCCAGCAAAGATGAGACGTTGCTGGTCAGGTGGAATGCCCTCCTTGTCCTGAATCTTGGCCTTCACATTGTCAATTGTATCAGAGGACTCAACCTCGAGGGTGATGGTCTTGCCAGTGAGTGTCTTCACAAAGATCTGCATCTGTACATAAGAAGGCTTATGAGAAAATCAATCAAGACAGAAGCTGGAACACGGATGATCTATTTCTTGTTATAATCATGGAGTAAACAATGAAAAAACAACCAACACCAGATTCATATGAACTCCTAGATTAGAAGATTTCATGGTTTACGGAAGTAATGGGAGGACCATATACATATGAGCTCGTAGATTTCATGGTTTAAAGGAAGTAATGCAAGTTACCCAAAGATTATAGTATACAGGAGAGCTTCCAGGTAGATGTAATAGTGAATTAGGAAAATTTCTGAAGGGGTCAGATCATATATAACCTGATGAACCAGATGGATCAATGGGTACTGGAATGAATGATTTCACTTTGAAACGTACAGTATACCAACAAACCAGAGCATCCTTAGAGGAGTAATCTCCACATCGTAAAATCGAGTAGACTATATTAGCGGTCCATATTCATCATCTAAGCGAACCTGTTTCCATGATTTCATCAATCTACCAACAGTATTTTGAGAGAAATCCCCAAACATCCATACGTAGCAAACACTAGCAACTAAATCGAACTAGATGCACCCAGCGGAAACAAATTTAATTAGATGGGGATCATCGGAACAGATCTATCGCTAGTCATCTAACCGGAGCAAAATCGAACAGAAACCAAGGGTATAGGGTAATAGGGATCAAGCGGCTGATGCATACATACCTTGACGAAGATCGCGAGCGCCGAGCGGCCGCCTTGCTTCAGATCGCAACGATTTCTCGATTTATGTCGGGGGGATTTGGATTCTTTGGATTGGGGCTACTTAAATGCGGGGAAGAAGAAGAAGAACATGGGCCGTCTCGGTTGCGTCGCGTCACGGCTCACGCAGCTGAGACGGCTTTGCGGAGTCCACTTCTGGGCCCATAGGCTGGACTCTCTCTCTTTCTCCTACTCCTCCTGTGTGATGGGCTGGGCTGAGCCCATATTATGTGGGGCTAGCGTGAGTTATAAGGCCCATGGATTTACCAGATTTGGGCTGCAATTATTGGGCGCCATTTTTAGCCTAGATTATCTCCAGTCTCCTCGGCCAATTCCCGACTTTTGCTTTTATTTTCTTCATCTCTTCTTTTTTTTGAGAACTAAGAAATCTCTTCTCAACTGGAGTACGAATTTTTATCTGCTTGTTTCGTGGACAAAATTGTAATGTTGACAGCGTGGATAACGACAAACAATTATTCGGTCTGTGGGCCCATGAATAATTCCGACAGCGTGTGGTCCATATCTAACTAAACGTGCTTGTATTATTAGTTGACTAGGTCGCGCAGCGAAGACTTGCAAAGAGGTAGAAAACCAGTAACTGACAGATGGGGTCGCGTGCGGTTTGGTCCCACTTATGGGCCCATTGTCAGTGCCAAACCTAGAGACGAAAAGGGTACGCAAGCTTAATGTAGTGGAGACTTCATCTTAGTGCTGTTTTTAAATTTTTTATTTATAAATTAACAAGACTCTCACCAGTTGACCTTGACTTGGGAAGATGGCATATAGACGACTTGCATTGCAGATCTGGAGAGAGCTGGAAGAAGAGCCATGGCCATTCAGAAAACTGAAGAGCAGCATTCAGCATTTTTCCATTTGCAGGGGTAAGTAAGTATAGTCTCGAAACACACTGTTCATGCATCCATATAATCCATTACCAGCAAGCTAGCTTAGAGAACTTAGTTTACCTTCAATTTCATCGACCCCTTCAGTTCCTTCTGCTAGCTGCATGTCTGCAGCAGCCTTGCAGGGGATCGATCGACTGGGTTAACACTTCGTTCTTCAACGCTGTGTAATCTATGTATATGTAGCTTCTTGTTAATTAATTTCTCTTATCACTTCTGCCTTTTCCTGCAGGATATGATGTTTGGCTATACATGCACTTGCGCATAATGCACATGTCGCCAGACAGGCCCTAACTCAAAAGCAGGTACGAGACTGTCTTCCCTACATGTAAGTCGTATACGTATCGGACCAAGATGATTGTTTGTCATCTCTGTCTTGTGACTCTCTACTGAAACTGAAAGTAGCTAGGATTTGTCGTCCATGGATTATGGTTTCGATCGTAAGTTGAGTGTTGATGGATGCTGCATGCTCCTAGTTCAGCTGTTTAAGTTTTAGGTGAGATTTCCATGTTCCAAGTTGGCCGACCACTAGTGAATTAGTGATGCAATGATCGATGTACTGCACTAATCACTAGGTATGTCTAACTTGACAATTAGTTGAGAATACCAGGTAGACAATATTGGGCCGCAAGAATTTTCCCTTCGAAGATATTACTCCAAACAGTAAAATTTTTCTTTCTACTATGCGTGGACCAAATTTACACCAGACAAGGTTTTGGCCCAACTTGAGTAGTTGCACACAGGGAAAAATATCATCTGGCCCAAATTCATTGAAATATATTTTTAATAAAAAAATCTCTATCCGGCCTGCCGGAATATATTTTCTTTAAAGAGGCCGTGAAGGCCCATACAGGCTCTCCACTAGTAACCACGGCCTTTATCTATCTGGGCCTATTGAATTGTCTGTTGGGCTGTACGGTGGGATTTCCCTACTCGCGTCCACTGTTCATATTTTTCGTTGGGTAATCAGAAAGGGACTGACAAATTTTCTACCACAAATTTGTCAAATATAAATATAATACAAGCATAGTATAATTATAATGTAATTTGTATGAAATTACAATGTAACTTGCATATAACTTTTAAAAATCCCGTGATAACACGCTATTTTCGCAAAGCGGGGTTTGCAGGAACAAATCCCCTCACAGGTGCACGTGCTATGATTTCTTCTCCACTTGCGTGAATCTTGAAGTAAATATAATGGTTTAAAATCATATAAAAGTTATATATGAGTTACAATCTACTCTCTCTGTCTTAAAATATAGATTTTGGTTGGATATGATACATCCTAATACGTACTACGAACCTGAACAAAGATGTGTCCCATCTAACCCAAATCCACTATATTTTGAGACAGAGGGAGTAGTTACATGCTAATTACAATGTAATTACACTACAATTAGCACTGCATTTATATTTGACAAATTTTAGAGTAATTTGTTGGTAAATATATAGCAAAACTGATCAGAAATCTGATTTTCTGTGTTGTACGGTGTTCTCTGTAGAAAATAAGAAATAAATAAATGTTGGGTCGATAGAGATGGATCATCATAGACATTTTTGGCCACAGTACGTTCATAATATCCGGGACGTCTGATAGCATTATTATTGCACTTTTTCCATATTATGCTAAGCGTCTTTTGATTCCAAAAATCTTCGTTACTCAAAACGACCGTGTATGTTATATCAAAACTACATGCAAGATCTGGCAGACAAGATAGATAAAAACGGGAATGCCTTAATATATATGTTGTATAGTAATTTCTTGAGGAGTACACAACTTCATTTAATTTATGCATGCATGCTTGTCCATATGTAGCAAGTATGCATCCAGCGAAACCCCTAGATCTCATCATAACAGAGAGTACGTACGTAGTAGTACTGTAGTACACTTGGATATATACAAATTAAGCCAACACATTAGTCTTCAGATTACAATATAATAGCATCGTCCTCTTTGATGCTTCACCTTGAAGCTATCTAGGTTGACAGAAAAACAGAGATCGAGCGCATGCACATCCTGGGACTTGGTGGTGGTGGTGTTTGAGATAAATCTTCCATCAAATCGATCCTAGCTTTTGTATTTTTCATATACACGTGAGGGCAGAGATCTTCCAGACAATTAGCTGGATATAGTCGTAGAGAGAAACGCACGCAAGCGCGAAATTGCATGCGTATCACAAGATTATTCAGTAGAAATGCTTCCAAGAATGAATGATCAAGAGATCAGAGAGGGTAGATGGATCTCTCTCTCTTCTTGAGGAGATCGAGGTGGAGATAGATGCATGTCGACAGGGTATAGATCGATAATTAACTCGGTCGGAGTAAACCACAAAGCTAGTACTTTAGATGAGATCTAGGGTGGGAGCAACAATCTGTCGCGAGTACTGGCTGATCGATCATCCGTCAGGTTAATTTGGTGGAGGAAGGAATTAAGCGGCGATCGATCGCCGATGGGAAGTGCGATCGTACGTCCACCAGTTGGGATTGTGGTTGCGGTAGCTGGTTGAGGAATTGGTAGCGGCTGCCGGCGATCGAAAAGGCTTACCGTATGTGAAGCAGACGGCCGGAGTTGGCCGGCGTTGCGGCGCGAGTGCTCGATCGTCAGTTCATCAGATAATCCAGCACGTACAACAGGTTCAGCCCCGTGATCCAGAGCACGTAGGCGGCGAAGAACCACCCGCCGGAAGGGTCGCCGCCGTCGGCCGGGTCCCGGCCCACGGCGAGAGCATCGGCAAGAAGGAAGTAAGCCGCGCCCGCCACCATGAACCCGACGGCGAACACCTCGCCGCGGACAGGCCTCCACCTCCGCCGCCGCCTGATCAGCCCGCGTCGGTGCCCACCGTCGAACTCGTGGCTCGGCGGCGGCGGCGGCGGGGACGGCGCCTTGCCTTTGCCGCCTCCCGCCGGAAAACAACCCGCCGCCTCGTCGTCTCTCTCCCCTTGCATCGCCGGAACACCACGACCCCGGCCAACCACGCCCTCTGAAATCCTCTCCGGTCTCGATATCCTCGATCGATCGCAATCATGCGAATTGCTAGCTCATGCAAATTCTTAGCAGTTAGCTCGTAGCTAGAGCTCCCCTGAGCTCTGTATATATATAGTATGTTAATTTAGTTTTTTCTTTTCTTTAATTTTGAGGAAAAAATTAAGGCATGCTGCCCTGACGACGAAGCTTCGTGGAAGCGCGTCTACGTAGCTTCTTGGAAGCTTCAATGAACTGTACTGTTCTCCTTTCATCAGCACAAAACCCATCAGATAACGGATAACCTGCCTTAATCTTGTTCGAATTGTTACTTATGTACTGTTAGTACCTCTATATGTACTGTTAAATTTGGGCCGTATATTGAGAGATGATAATAAGTGTTTCTGAATTAGATCTGAACTTAATTCATCAGATCCGTGCTTTCGTAGTTTTGAACGACTTAAGGCAGGTTATTCAAAGCAGCTTCCATCATCGTCCGCGTCATCAAATTCGGCCTGACGTGCAGAGAGTAGATAAGATCATATCATAAGAACGCGTATACATATGTGCAGTTGATAAGCACATACTCCTCCTATATATCCACATCGATTGATCAATAAATAATAATCTTTGATCAATGCCGGCCACTCTTTGGAGCGTCCAAACTTAGAGCCTGTTTAGATGGGACTAAAGTTACTTTTAAGTCCCTATCACATCGGATGTTTGGACACTAATTATAAATATTAAACGTAGACTATTAATAAAACCCATCCATATTCTTAGACTAATTCGCGAGACGAATCTATTGAGCCTAATTAATTCATGATTAGCCTATGTGATGCTACAGTAAACATTCTCTAATTATGGATTAATTAGGCTTAAAAAATTTGTCTCGTGAATTAGCTTTCATTTATATAATTAGTTTTGTAAGTAGTCTATATTTAATACTCTAAATTAGTATCTAAATACAGGGACTAAAGTTAAGTCCCTGGATCCAAACACCACCTTACCACTGCACTGTAGACTGCGCCTCATGCAGGTACCTATCTAGTGCACAAATTTTGACAATTTGACCCTTTACAAAAACTATTTTTACAAATAAACCGCTGCCAAAACTTATTTCAAATCTGACCCTTTTGCTCAACGCCAAATCATGTGGCGCTGAACTTAGACACCTTAGCGCCACATCAGCTGGTGCTAAATGCCGTGCCACGACGGATGGGAGACTAAGTCAGCGTGCCAACATACATTCAACGCCATGCTATTTGGCGCTAAGGTGTCTAAATTCAGCGCCACACGATTTGGCGTTGAGCAAAAGGGTCAGATTTGAAATAAGTTTTGACAGCGGTTCATTTGTAAAAATAGTTTTTGCAAAGGGTCAAATTGTCAAAATTTGTGTATCTAGTGACCAAAAATTCATTCAATTCAGAGCTATAGCTATCTGGTAGTGCTAGTAGTACTACTATCAACTATAGCATTTATTCATCTTTTAGGATATACTGTACACACATTCGATCTTACTGGCTCTGCAACTCTGTATTGCATGCTAAATCCGTTATGATTTACTACTAATGATGGATGTACTGATACATAGTACTGATCGATGAGCTAGCTAGGGTTTTGGATGGGTCGGAAGGTGAGAAAGAGGAGGAAAGAAGAGAGAATCTATTATATTATTAAAGGAATAGAAAAAGAAGCCTCCACGTTCGCTCTCACGGCCTAGAAATTCTCACATTAATCGGAGAAAAGAAAAAGCAGAGTCCATATAGAAATACAATTTAGAAATAGCTGAAATTCGGAATTATAAAATAAGGAATATTAGAAGAGGAGACTAGAGTCCATATGGAAATACAATTTAGAAATAGTTGAAATTCAGAATTAAAAAATAAGAAATATTAGAAGAGGAGACTAGAGTCCATATAGAAATATAATTAGGAAATAACTGAAATTCGGAATTAAAAATAAGGAATATTAGAAGTAGAGTATAGAGTCCATATAAAAATATAATTAGGAAATAACTGAAATTAGGAATTAATAATAAGGAATATTAGAGATAGAGTATAGAGTCCATATAAAAATACAATTAGTAAATAACTGTAATTCGGAATTAAAAATAAGGAATATTAGAGGTAGAGTATAGAGTCCATATAGAAATACAATTAGAAAATAACTGTAATTCGGAATTAAAAATAAGGAATATTAGAGGTAGAGTATAGAGTCCATATAAAAATACAATTAGGAAATAACTGAAATTCGGAATTAAAAATAAGGAATATTAGAGGTAGAGTATAGAGTCCATATAGAAATACAATTAGAAAATAATAAAAATTCGGAATTAAAAATTTGATATTAAAAATAATTAATAACTAACACGTATATATAATACAATATAAATATTACACATTAGTAGTTTTACAAAATTTAAAATTATATTGTCATTTTAATAAATTTGAATAATACATTGAGAAAACATATATGCTATTACATGAGAGAAAATATAATGATGCTAGCCGCGCAATATGCACGGGCCACTATGCTAGTTGAAGATGATTAGAAGAAATCTAATCAATTTCAGAGCATTACTGTATTCATCTTTCAGTGTATATTCGTCTGGGTAGTGCTGATTGTGCCATTATAATTGACGGGGTCGTACTTCGTACGGACGAATCGACACAGACATGCATGATTGTCTTTTAGTACTTAGAATTAGTAGCAAAGTCGGTGGGACAACGGCATGTTCAACACGCTTACTATATAGGACGTATATATAGTTTTCAGATAATCCCAGATACTACTTGCATGGACTAAATTCAGTCACCAGTCGCATGCACTGTCATTTCGATTAGCGGTGTTCACTACAACTAGTAGTATATTATTGTCAAAAGTTTTCAAGCTAGCTAGCTTTAACTGAAAATGATACCATGTATACAGTGCGTGTATACTCCAGCTTGCAGTGTTTTTGGGTCCATTGCTTATCAATTTCTTGCGCAGTACGTGGTCAATATATATATAGTTCGATGAAATAGGGACATATGTGTATAACATATCAAAAGCTTCTTGCATTTGCGTCGAAAAAACAATAAAATTTGCGTAAAAAAAGGCTTCATGCACTAGCGCGCAACTCTTTTGTGCAACCATATTTCAGATTTCATTTTCTTTTCTAGATATAATTTAAGGAATAAGATTTTTCGTTCAAAAAATTTGTAAGGAAGATGAATTACATTTCCGGGTTCTTTGCCCATTTCAGATTCCATAGTAACTTACAAGTCCAAATAACCGTTGAATAGTAATTAACCTCTGCATATCTATAATCTAGATGATCGATCTGTATCCTCGTGGATCCTGAACTGGACAAAGGGTAATTACGATGGTGTACTTGGCAATGTCGGCGGCAGCTAATCCTGATCAGCGCAGTCAAATCAGAATATATGAGTTTCCTGATCTAGTTGTTTGAATTATTTTGTTACGCAATTAAGTTAGCTAAATTGCAGCTAGCTATAGCTCTACTTATGTCGAGAGATGTCGACATAATATAGTTAGAGAGGATAAGGACAAATTAATATTCATGGTCTCTATCACTTTTTTTTCTGAACACATCCAATAATTAATAATGGTACTGGTTAAGGTACTCTATATATAGGATTATAAAAGTAATAAACAGTAGTAGTAAAAAGCGACGTATCTACGGTTTAAGTCGTGTTGTGTATGGACTGTAGTCTGTAGGTAGAGTGTGTATTCATATGATCCTGATTCGTTGCTGAGTTTTAATTAATTCATGGGTTATTGGGTAGATGACATTAATTTCAGTTGGCTACTTGTTGGTCTAAAGATGAGGTTTTAATCTATTATTTAAAAATCTCTACTACTTTAAAAGTCAATAGTGGTGGTGGCAATAAGCTTGCCTCCATCATTACCAACTGACACGTGAGACCTAGCAATAGTACCAACTTATAATTTAATATAATATATGTTGGTATAATAAATTAGAATAAAAGAAAGGAGAGTATATGATAGTCATATAATATGGATAGTTTTGATCCATTCTTTGTGTATATAATATAGGCTTTACAACATATAATTAGTTATCTCTCTTAACATCCCTTGCAATGCATAGACATTTAGCTAGTTTTGTAAACATTTTCAGACAAGTGTTGTTCATGTTCGTATATCTACCGGTACCACTGTACCAGTATCAGGACACTAAAAAAAGTATTAAGACGAGCACAAACCCTCAGCTTTCTCATCGTACCAAATAGGGTTTGTCGTAAAACAAGAAAGTCATTAGTACATAGGTGTTTAGTTCGTGTGTCAAATTTTTTTTAAGTATATGAACATACATTTAAAGTATTAAATATAGACTAATAACAAAACAAATTACAGATTCCACATGTAAACTACGAGACGAATCTATTAAGCCTAATTAATCTGTCATTAGCAAATGTTTACTATAGCACCACATTGTCAAATCATGGTGTAATTAGGTTCAAAAGATTCGTCTCGCGATTTACATGCAAACTGTGTACTTAGTTTTTTTGGTCCATATTTAATGCTCCATGCATGTGTCCAAATATTTAATGTGACGGAAAAATTGGAAGTTTGAAGAAAAAAGTTTAATCTAAACATGGCCATAATTAATTAACAATTATTGCACATGCAGTTTATCTAGAGTATGTGTGTGTTTGGAACACACGTATCGTATACAAGTATACCAACAGCCTAAAAACACTTAATTATTAGGTGCCCTAACATATAGACATTCTCCTCCCTAATCCACCAAATTAGTTTCTACAACATTAATTAATAACTTCCGAATGAACATGTCTCGATTATTTATTTACAAGCATCACAGTTGATGACCGTGAGAGAGTACATTAACATTATATTCCTGCCATCACAGTACTAACCCCTTCTTTCTTGGGTTCAATTTAGGTTTCTTTTCCCCCCTTTTGTATCGATTTGATATCTTGAAATGCATCGCATGCCTCCTTCAGATCACAGAGCGCCGTCGTCGTCGTGACTCGTCCCCTCCACTTACTAGCCGAGACTAAGTGTTCGACATGCGCGCACTGGTGAACTGCTGCCATGGCGCGGATCACGTACGCGTACTCCATCATGCGCCGATTTGATAGAAGAGAGCGAGCGCGGCGAGAACGAGGGTGCCCAAGCCGCAGCACGACAGCACCGCCGCCGCGACCGCCACGCTCGCCTTCCTCGCCGGCGCCACGGAGGCCACCACCCCCAGGCTCACCGCGCCGACGAACGCCGACGTCAGGAAGAACGTGCACACCTTCAGCTGCGCCTTGCCCACCGCGCCGCCGAGCAGCCCGCCGAACACGGCAAGCACGGCCCCGAACGACACCGACGCCACCGCCACGGCGATGGCGTACATCGTCCCCAGCTCGGACTTCCCGTCCTCCTCCTCCTCCTCGCCTACCGCCGCGGTGCAGAACTCGATGAACGCCCACGCGGCGGCTCCGGCGACCACTGGGAAGACGACGGCCGGCAACAGGAGCCCGTGAAGGATTGTCGCGGCGATCAGCAGCAGCGCCGGCACCAGCATCGCGAGCATGACGACGTTCGCGATGGCTAGTACAGTCTTCTGCCACCATATCCCCGACGGCGACTGGCGGCGGCGCCGGTGAACTTCACTGTTGGACAGCAGCCTGCAAAGGAGCAGCGCCAAGATTCCGGCCAGACCGGAACCAAGCATGAAGAAGATCGACACCTTGGCGTATGAATACTGACCACCCAATTTCTCTGTCTTGTGATAGATTCCAAGGAGATCTCCAATAAAACCAGAGAATGATGTGGTCACCAAAGATAAGGTGAGCTGATTTGCACTCTTTAGTGCTTTCTTCAGAGCTTTACTCTCTTCAGGCCTTACATCTCTCACATCGAATTTGCCATTATATATGAAGTGAAAGACACCAACAAGGATGGAAGGGACCAATGAAATGGGCAGGAAGTAATAAGCCTTAGGAAGCAGAGAACAAGTGATGGAAATAAATGACAAAATAAGGGAGGATATGGAGGTAGCCAAGAGGACTATGGAAAGTTTCAGCTGGTTGATGGCGCTGATGATGTGCTCTGGCTTGATTGTCATCAACTTCAGGGTGTGGAACATGAGGGAAATTGCGGTGACAAAGGCTGTGAATGCAAAGGAGGAGGCGAATTTCAGTCCGAGTGGAAGTTTGAGTGCATCTCCACGAAGAAATAGAATGTCAATCAGGGGGACTGTAGAGATTGTGACGAGGAGCAATGCAAATTTCAGGTAGTGATGCGTCAGGCGCTTGCCCTCTTTCCTTGCAGTGCTACTCGCTGATCCATTCTGCAACATCAAACGTATTAATTAGGGACTTGCTACAAAAATCATTGGATGCATGTTATTAATTTATCATATATAAACCTGCAGGGTCGACATACATGCATGGATATCCAGAAGAATTAACTTAGTAAGAGTATATGCATACACTGATATTTTTCCTCACAAAAAAATACACTGGTATTTCATGTTAACGGTATCCAGAAAGTTCACGTGTATGCTTGTACATTGGCTTCTATATATGCTATGAACTGAAAATTTGAGGCCAGAAATTGCAGTAGTATATATTAGAATAATTGAAAATAACATCAAAGCTTATATGCGTACTAGAACTTGCATCCAACTATAGCTTATGTTTCTTTTCATGACTTAGAAGAAGAAGAAGCAAAAAGGGGAAGCACATCAAGGATTATTTGATGCAGTTAGCTTTGAAGTAGACATGTAAAATTAGAGCAATTCTACGGTCCTTAAGGAGGTACCATGAGGTACCAAAAATTTAGTATCAAATTTGGTACCTCATGGTATCTTATAGTACCTAGGTACTAAGAGATACCAAATTTACAATAGAAAAAGTGGTACCTCCTCCAGAACCGTAAAATTGCTCGTAAAATTATGGAAGAGAATAACTTTGTAGATTGGGATCGCATGTATGTAGTACATAGCTAGCCAGCTACTAGGCTACTACTGAACAATCAAGAATCAATCATATTAAGGATTTTTGAGTTACCTCATCAGGCAGCATGTTTGATGGGTCGACTCCTCCTCCTTCTATATCTCCCCCATGATTATTCAGCAAAGCTTGCACGCCTTCTTGTATCTCCTTGTCTTGTGAGTCCCCCATCTCTTGCAATGGCTGCGCGCATATTAGTGAAAGATCTGGTCATCAGATCTGGACATGAACTAATTATATGAGTTTCCCCGATCTGGTCGTTTATACACAACATCTTTAGAATCAGGTGCGTAGTTAGCCTAATTACATAGCTTTCTGGTTTATGAATTTTAGCTATTTCTACTTTTGTATAATTAATTCCCTTCTTCTTTACTTGAATCAGATTCTTGGGGGCAAATGAAAGAAGCAAAAAAAGAAAAAAAAATTGGCGAGCTGTACCGATGTGAGAAGCTGAAATGGAGGGGATTTATTTTCTTACTTGAGGAGGGTGAAGTAGTTCTCCTCCGAGAGGCAGCTCCCTTTCGTCGTCGTCTCCGGCAGCCACCGCAGCTTGAGCAGGAACACCCTTGACGACGTGCGCTGACTTCGGTGCCTTCACCATGGCGTTCTTCTTCTTGTGCTAGTTCATCACTTCATCGTACGTCCTGTTTTATCCAGCAAAAAGGAAGTAAGAAAGCTGAATCAAAAAAAAAAAAAAACCCCTCTCCTGAGTCCTGATGAACAATACCTCCAACTCGATCGGAGTTTTCTTCCCGGCCGGCAGCTAACTTCGTTCTTCTGAACTGAGCTCAGGTGATCGTGCTACTTGGAGAAATTCCATATGAAGAAGAAGGAGGCCATAATCAAAGTCGTCGTTGCCGATAGAATTGGGGAGGAGGAGGAGGAGAGGCTAGGTCTACGAGAAGAGGAGAGAGGAAATGAGCTGGAAGCTAGCTAGGGAGAGACCCATGCATACTGGGGGAGGGGCCGGGTGCGGGTAGCGTATGTGTCACGCGTACTCACCGAACTTTTTCTTAGCCTCCAAGTATGCTATGCTGTCATTTACACTACACAGCTGCTCACACATGTTCATCGATCTCACTGTGGTGTGTGTGTACGTACGTTTACAACTCCCTCCGATCCGTCGGCCGCGTCATCACAGTGAGCTGCAGCGCATGAGGGAGTGGCCGGCGTCGAGGAATAGCCGCCGGGATAGATGGGCCTCGCGGCGCACAGGGACGACGACGACCTGCTCTTAATTTGAGCAGGATATGATCTCTTCTATCTGTTCAATTCGGCCATTGATTTGGGCTAGCTAGGAGCCAGGGAATATTAGCTGCGCGCTGTTGCTAGTAACAATCTATATATATATATATATATATATATATATATATATATATATATATATATATCAAGACACGAAAAAAACATCCAATATGGTATATCTCTATATTATAAAACTGAAGCAGTGGCGTTTAAAATAATAAAACTGAAGCAATAATCTTTACATCATATATTTCACCATGCATCAAAAGAGGATAACTTAAGGCCCTGTTTAGGTCCCACCCTAAAATTTTTCACCCTGTCACATCGAGCGTTTGAACATCTGCATGAAGTATTAAATATAGGCTAAAAAATAAATAATTGCACAGATTGCGACTAATTTGCGAGATGAATCTTTTAAGCTTATTTGCTCCATAATTTGACAATGTGGTGCTACAATAAATATTTGCTAATGGTGGATTAATTAGGCTTAATAAATTCGTCTCGAGGTTTACTGACAGATTCTGTAATTAGTTTTTTTATTAGTACCCTATATAATACCTGATGTGACACGCCAAAACTTTACACCCCTGGACCTAAACACCCCCCTAAGTTATTCTTAACAAAAAAAAACTTAATTACTAGCCACTACTTACGGAGGCCAAGCACCAGGTGCAATTAATGTGGATTCCTCTTATGGTGTGTTTAGTTTATGCCAAAATTGGAAGTTTGATTGAAATTGGAACGATGTGACAGAAAAGTTGAAAATTTGTGTGTAGAAAAGTTTTGATGTGATGGAAAAGTTGAAAGTTTGAAGAAAAAGTTTGGAACTAAACCATGCCTTAATGTTGTACTCTGCGAGGGTGCAGCCATCCTCGAGCTAGCTAGCTGCTTATCAGCAAAGGTGATCAGGGCCGTTGGTTCCAGGGAAAAAACACTCCTCTTTATCCTCTTAACATTCTTTATATATAATATATATAGTACTCCCTCCGTTTTTAAATATTTGACGCCGTTGACTTTTTTAAACATATTTGACCGTTTGTTTTATTAAAAAAATAAATAATTATTAATTCTTTTTCTACCATTTGATTTATTGTTAAATATGCTTTTATGTATACATATAGTTTTACATATTTCATAAAAGTTTTTGAATAAGATGAACGGTCAAATATGTGCTAAAATGTCAACGATGTCAAATATTTAGAAATGGAGGGAGTATGAAAAGACTCAATCGACTTTCGCAAGCGTAATGGTACGTCTTGCCGGTCAGGGTTTTAATATATATCCGTCATTTATGTAGTCCCACACAACAATATGAATAGTGGACTCTTCCTTAATGTTGTAATGTGCCAACGTTAGACCATCCTCAAGCGGCATGCAATTGCCGACATGGATGAGACGCTGCCAGTGTGGTGGTATGCCCTCCTTGTCATGGATTTTTGACTTCAGGCTATAGATCGTGTCCGAGGACCCGACCTCCAGCGTGATGATCTTTTCACTCAAGGACTTCACGAAGATCCGCATTCCTAGCCTGAGGTGAAGGATTAATATAATTGTCTCTGAATTCGAATGCCGTAATCTGCAAGAGGGTGTGTCCGCCCTTGAGACTGATCTCAACCTCTCAAGGGTGATTTATTTGGTCTTGCCGGTGATGAGGGTCTTCGCAAATTAAAGAGATCTGCATTGGCAAATTCCAAAAGAAGACAAGTATATATATATGAGAAAATCAATCATGCATGGATGAAAGAGGAGGAATACACATATAATCTATTTTTTATCATCATCATATGAGTTAAAGTGCTTAAATTCCATGCTTTGGGGGAAAAAAACAATACTAGATCCGTTTCGTGATAATTGACACTAACACTATTCACTTTCGAATTTTGACCTCTTTTTTTTTAAAAAAATAAAATATTCACAAACACTACAAATGATGCCATTGTTATGAAAATATAGAGTATGCACTAAATATATGTACTTCATCCGTTTCACAGTGTAAGTAATTCTAGCATTTCCCACGTTCATATTTATGTTAATGAATCTAGAGAGATATATGTTTAGATTCATTAACATTAATATGAATATGAGAAATGCTAGAATGATTTACATTGTGAAACGGAGGGGGTATAAAACTTCTGTTTACTTTGTCCTAACAAATTAATTAAATGGGAAAGTCAAAATATAGTTCAGAGATTCACATCTCTGATGTATTACTCTCTCCGTTCCTTAACAATTGGCAGAGAGTAATACATCAAAGATGTGATCTATAGAAGAGTTATAATGCATGAAGTCAGAACAAATAATCATGAAAGGGTCTATGTATAAATATTCTGTGAAACTGAAACCTATATGGATCAGTGACAATGAAACCTATAGAGATGGGGGCGCCACCGCGCCAGTGCAACAAACAATCTACTAAGTGCTGACTACTGGAGACTATGTACAATATCCGTGCATAACCAATCTACATGAAGCTAACAGAATTAATGATCATGAATAAACGATCCACAGTTCCACACGGAAGGATCTATATATGGACATGAGAATATATATAAAAAGGAAAATCTACGATGTTTTTGTTTTCCTCCAAATCACCCTCAAAATCATACGGAGAAATCAATCGAACAGAACGCGTACAATCGGGAGGGATGGAGAGATTTGATTTAGCACCTTGACGAGAGGAGATTGAAGTATAGGATGGAACTTGCTTCGTGGGTTTTTCAGATGGAAATCGATCGAGCAGATTAACGACGAGAGGAGAAAGTCGCCGATCGAGTAGGTGGGCGTGCTACAATTTATTGACGACGAGAGGAAAGAGACAGATCGCGTCGCGGCTCACGCAACGGATGGGGACGATATGGGTCTCGCTCTCGCGGCACGGCTCGGCAGCTCTGTGGGCTCGAGGCGCACATTATCTTGGGCCTTATATGGGCTTTGATTCTCTTTGTCCACCACATTATATTGGGCCTTGTATATATGGGCACTAGGTATGGTGACTGTCAACAATTTGGAAACTTTTTAATCAAAACCTGATAATTTAGAATCACAAACAAATTAACTCGTGTATTAGTACTCAATCCGTCTCAAAATATATAATATAACAGTAAACTAGTATTCTCTCCATCCGGGATTTTGGTCGGATGGGAATCTAGATAGACTCTTGTCACATCTGATTAAAATCATTTATATTTTAAGACAAAAGAAGTACTCAATTAGATATTATATAGTACTATAAATCTGAAACAAATAAATTAGTACTACTAGATTTTAGATTTTAGAATAGAGGGAGTACTTATCAATAGCTAAGCCAGAAAACTCTACAGGTTTAGTACGCTGATAGCGTATAGTCCTCTACAAGGTTGTCAATATCCCTATTCGTATTCTAGTATCTTACGATACTACGATCCTACCAAGCCGAAACGATACCGATCCCACATAGTATCCTAATTTTCAAAGTATCTTGATCCTACTATTCATTATTACACGATCCTATGAAATCTTAGGTGGTATCCCGATTCTATGATCCCTACGATACTACAAAATATTATTTAAAATAACATGGTTTGAAAATAATGTAACTAAATATGCTCAAATTTATATGAAAATCAGTTAAATATATCAAAACTAACGTGGTTTCTCTTGATAAATGTCTCTATTTGCATGGCATATATCATTACTACATTTTTTATATAGAATGTCTATATATAATTAATATAAATATTAATTAAATTTAAAACAAGAAAATCTCATAGTATCCCGATACTACGATACGATATTACTTTGAGCAAAAGGATACTACTATCCCGATCCTGACAACCTTGGTCTCCTGTGAATTTATTATTACAATCATAAGTCATACAAGTCCCAGCGAATTTATTATTACAATCATAAGTCATAGTACTTATAATTGAGTTGCAAACGTGCTCTCCTCGTCCCATAAAAGAACAAATTTAACACATGAACTGTGAGAGCAGAAGTGACGCGCAGATAGTAGGCCCAGTGACACGCAACTGCCACCGTTTAATCAAGGGCGCGAAACATGAGGCAGATGACACTCAGGAAGCCGATGAACTTGGCGAGCGTGGAATGCGGGCTGTCGGATTCGGCATGATCGTTTTGTTGGTCTCCGTCGACGTCGAAGAAATGATCTGTCAGAATCATCACCCAAACAACGATCAGGAACCACAGCAGCAGCCAGTACTTCTTCCGGGCATGCTGATTATTCAGCTTACTGGCATCGCGTTGCACCTGTTATTACATGCACACGGAAAATTAGCTGGAAGCCAGAACAATCGTCGTGCATGCATGCAATATATACTCCTGGCCCTAGCTTCATTCTAAAATATATTACTTCCTCCGTTTCACAATGTAAGATTATAAATTTTAGTGAATCTAGACAACATTTATATAATTGTGGGCAATTTTAGAAAATCTTACAATATAAAACGGAAGGAGTAGGCAACTATTTTTTTTTTATTTTATACAAAGGTGTACATACACACATGCTAGCTAGTTAATTGTATACATGTGTATGCATGTCTTATAATATTGTGAAATATCTTAAAAAATAGTTGTGCCTTATATTAATTATAAAATGGAGTGAGTATATTTTAGGATAGAGAAAGTAGTATATGTGCTACTTGCAGTAATAGCCTGATTATTAAATGCAGTAGTATGTATTAATTGATTAAATACGAAATTTTGTGAAATATAGGACATACCTAGCGCTAGCTACTCTAAAGAAAGAAGAGCCAGTATTAGATTCGAATTACTATGTGATATGTAATCAATTAGATTGCTATATTTTAAAACTGACGGTGATCAGAGTACTACTACACACTTAACAATATATTATTGCCCGTAAAGATGACTAGTGATATGATGTGCCAATATAAGAATAGTTCAAATTCAACATATATACGTGCGCAACAGAGTGAGATGCAATAGAGTCCTAAAGCCTTGTTTGGATAGGATTCATGTGATTGAATTCCTTACATAGCCCATGGTGCAATAGTTACTTCGCATGCAATATCCAAATGCCGAAGTGTCTCTGTTGGTTTTTTTTTTTTTTGGGGGGGGGGTAATAGAGGACAAAAATTTGCAGGACTCTTGCTGCATGTTGATACTTAGTACAGATATAATTATTATTGTTCGTAAACAATATCATGGCCATTAGAATCATATACTAGTGAAAAATATATGTACTTACCACAAAACAGATATATATGTTGCACTACAATCTAGCTGTAGGGAACTAACTAAGAGCAAATACAAAGCATGCTATAAGAGTTGCCACATCAATTTTGTGCTCAGGAAGAAGAGAGGAGATGAGAGAGAGGGAAAACTTACTACATATTTATGCCTAATTGTAGCTCAAGCTTCAATAGTAAACTGTGTGTGAGAGATGGGTCATATATTAATGAAATAGTAGTATATATCTATAGCTATTTATTATATGTGTGAGCTATTAGATTGGTTGTAAATGATGTGTTAATCTTATTAACTAGTAGTTTGTCATACTTTTAACCTTGCTGTAAAATTCTGAACGTATAAAAACACGGTTGTGACCCTTTCAAGAAATTTAGACTACTAGTTTAGTGCTTCTGACTTTTCCATAGTTATCCAACACATGGTTTACAAAACGTGCGGTTATCATAGTTATCACGTGCGGTAACCTTTTCAGTTTAGAAACTACGGTATATAACTCGGTTACCGCGGTAACCGTTAAACTGTGGGGTGACGGTAACCCCACCTAAAACGGTTTGGTGAACCCTGGCACAACATGTATTTTTAACTTTCACACAAATGAAGGATGTCTTGTTCTTAACATGGCAGATTTATAAGTTACTGTTTCTCCCTTCTCCTGTTGAGAGAGAGAAAAAAATTATGAAGGGCTCTTTCTGCAAGCAAGTGAGCTTCAGAAGAAAACACATGAGAAAGACATGAAACTCACTCAATTTCTTCATACTCTTTATATAATGTCTACACATGAAAGACAAAGGAATCAATGGAACTGAACTTCTGCTGATCTTTATCTCTAAAAGAAAATTGCTAGTTGATATTTGATGGTAAGAATAATTCTTGTAAATCAATATATACAGAGAAAAATTATATATATATATATATATATATATATATATATATATATATATATATATATATATATATATATATATATATATATATATATATATAGTGCTAGTTAATTAGGCATCTTCCAAGCTAGTATTCACGGGTTTTTGGTGTTATCATGAGTAGAGGAAGCAGGACTAATCGAGTGTGGATCTCATGCAAGAACAACTCGAATCAAACGACGAACCAGGAAAAAAAAAAGAAAGTGATCGAAGAACAAAATCAAAGCCAAAAGGGGAGGGAAGTTATTAGATAGTAGCATGATGAACAACATGCATGAAGTTGTACTAGTAGGCTTAGTTACCTGCACTTGCAGATCTGCAGGAACCTTTTCTTCTCCAGCTATTGCCTCAACAACAGCAGCAGCATCGATGATGTCGATCGCCTTCTCCAAGTCCACCACGTCCTTCGCCGCCTCGAGGCCCTCGACCATCTCAGATCATCAGAAAAAAGAAATTAATGGAGGTTACCTAGTTGAAAAGGCATGGGATTGAGGAGGGGTAGCTAGCTATCTAGCCATGATGAGCTCAGATACCTTCGATCGATTGATCAGGTCGTGGAGTTCTATCCCTTCGATCCTCTCGGTTTTCTTCCTGCAGACGAGGAAAAGTAAAGGATCAAAGAGAAAATCAGAAAATTAGCAATCAAAAGTTCAGAACTCAGAAGCGCTTGAGCTAATAGAAGAAAATATTTTACACATGGTTATCTAGCTTACCTGAACGAACGGATGCAGGTATATATCGACGAACCAGCTGCTTACTGATCGGATATTAATTAGGTCAGATTTCTGGATCTAGCTAGCTTAAGGCAATAGCTTAATTAGCTAGAGCTAGCTAGATGTAGCTAAGGAGGGGAGAAGAGCATCAAAGCTACCCTGATCCGAACCATGACACGCACGGAAAGGGAGAATCGCGATTCGAGAGGCGGTGCGTTTGCTTTTGGTCTGTGCGAGAGACAAAGAAAAAGAGGGAGAAACCGATCGAGAGAGAGAGGAAGAGGAAGAGAGAGAGAAGGAGAAGCAAAGGAAGGAGATTACTCTTGCGTAGCTCCTTGACCACCAACCAACGACGACGCGTTATTGGTTTTAAGAGATGACGACACTGTGTGCAAGCACACTAATCGTTATTAATTGCACCATGGCACGTTAACACGTACTCCTATATTGTCTGCTAGCTCGATCGTTTTTGTTGTTTCTACGTACTCGTCTGTTAAAAAAAAATCCAAATACTAAAAATGTATCTAAATAATGTGAGATATTTTTTAGACAGAGGGAGGACATCAGAACATGCATCTCTCTTTCGTTGAAAATAAAAGCTTCGCCAAATCACAAGACATAAAACTGAGCTGCCCAAGATTGCTAACGATTAGTCTATCCACTCTGATATATTAAAAAAAACTGTAAAAATTAGTATACTATTTTCAGAGTATCTACGAGACTGAGAGTCAACACGTGTGTGTGTGTGTATATATATATATATATATATATATATATATATATATATATATATATATATATATATATATATATATATATATATATATATATATAGTAAATTTGTTTGGTGCTCCATGGTGCCCGGGCACCATTGTTGAAATTGAGTATATACCCAATTCAAATGAGCATGAAACTTTTTCAATTATTTAGGTATTAATATTAACTACTTTACTAACTAGTTGAAAGCAAGTTTGAACTGAATTTGAACTTGTTTTTGTTAGATTTTGATTCTAGGTATATAGCATCCATACATATAATTAGTTAGGTATGTAATCATGGATTGTGAAATAAAGTTAAATTTGAGTTGTTTTGTTGATAGGTATAGGTATGAATCGAATTCTTATAACTAGGTATATACTCACAATTTGAAAATTTTGAAAAATTTGAGTGATTTTGTGCATTTGAAACCATGGTGCCCGGGCACCATGGTGCCCCATATGAGTGTCATATATATATATATATATATATATATATATATATATATATATATATATATATATATATATATATATATATATATATTGTCGAAACGACAACCGCATACGTCGAAAGACGTGGTTACTCAACAGTGGTTGGAAAAACGAAGTGTACTAAATTCTGAATTTTCACTTTCTTCATCCCCCCATTACATGGCTCTAGGGGACTATTTATAGCCCCATTACATGTTCTTACTACCAGGGTTTAGGTTGTACAGGGGAATTTACATGATTACCCTTACAAAAGAGACATTTACAGGGGTACATAATGTTATAGGGGCTCATGGGCCCCTGATGGGCCGTCTGATGATCGCCGGCCTGATGGGCCGGAAAGGCTTCCTCGGCCCTCGCGGGGGCGAACTTGTCAAGGCGAAGTCATCCTCCTTCGGCAGACAGTCTTCGCCTTGCACCCTTCGCCTGAGACGCCTCTGGCCTGGTTTCTCGGCCCTTGCGAGGGCGAACTTTGTCAAGGCGAAGTCATCCTCCTTCGGCAGACAGTCTTCGCCTTGCGCCGTTCTTCTTCCATAGCCTTCGCCATGGGTTTCGGCAGGTTTGGTTGAAGGGCCTCGTGCCATCCGCCAACAAGCCCCTCACGGGCAAGGGTGAGATTGGAGCTTCAGCCGAGACCATGCAAACCATGTGGTATGGTATGCGGCGCCCCCTTTCGACCGATGCTCCTGCCGAAACATACATTATTCCTGCGAATGAAGTTTGTTATTTGTGCGGCTGGTATTATTTTGCCGCGCTTCGCCTCGTGCGATTGATGGTTATATATATTCTTTTTTCCTGGGCCGAACAAAACAGTATTGGGCCTTCCTATCTTGGGCTTTTTACTGTGCCGCTCGGTCGATGGGAATTTACCGTTTCGCCTACCCTTGCGACACGTGGCGCTTCATTACTGGTGGGTAGGCGAACGGTCGCCTGGGCGGGCTATATATTCCCGTTGCTCTTTCCTTTTCACCGCCACACTTGCCATTTTACCGCGCGTGGTCTCTTTCTCCGTCTCTTCCTTTCACAGCATCTTTCGACCCCTCAGGCGTTTCGCCGAATCTCTTTTTTCGCCACCGCAAACGCACCGTTCGCCATGGCCCCACGTAAGCCAAACCCTACTTCGGCGAAAGGGCCAGATCCCGGCTGAGTCGATAACGACAGCACCGCCTTTCTGGGGGTCTCTCTTGTGGACGACGTTGAGCTGGCGAAGCTGGTCAGCTCCGGAGCGTTGGTTGAGGGGCAGCCTTCCGCCCCAGGGAAAACCGTGGTGCCGAAACCTGTCGACAATCGGACGGTGGTGTTCGCCGTATTTTTTGAGGCAGGGTTACGGTTTCCCTGCAACGTATTGTTGCCGGAGATCCTTCGCCTCTTCCAGGTGGAACTTCCGCAGCTGAGCCCGTCGGCGCTTGTTCGGATCGCTATCTTCGACTGGGCGTGTCGGACTTCCGGGTTTGAGCCCAACGCCGAGCTCTTTGGCGCCATATTTTTCGCCACCGTGAACTCGAAGACGGTAATTACCCCGGCTGGAACGAAAAAAACAGTGTTCGGGAGCGTGAACTTCAACGTTTGCCCGGAGCGATCCGATCTCTGGCCGGTGAACACTGCCATGTCGAAGTGGGACCGCCATTGGATGGCGAGGTGGTTCTACCACACCATCCCCTTCGAGGCTGGTTCTGAATCAGCGAAAGCCCTCCGGTGCCGGCGTAGGGCGATTGCGCCGAACCGGAGACCCAAGATCGCTGTGGACGGCGCCATGGAGGCGCGGTTCGTTCTACTGCGGAAGGTTTGCTCCCGCCTTAGCTGCCGTGACTTGGTGGAGGAATTTTGTATGCTTCGCATTTTTCCCCTCTCCCAGTCATGACAAGTCGCGGTTGAACAAGGCGAAGAGGTCGACGGTTTGCCGAACCTGATACTCCCTAAGGGGGCGAACAGTAAGACTGTTCTTTTGCTATATACTTCTATGCTTTGTTATTTCGCCTTATTTGACTTTTGACATAGCTTCACACTCTACTTTTACAGCGTTGACCCTCGACCAGGCCGAAGCCGAAGCCCGCAGGATGATCGGCGATGTTTCGGTCGTCGAGTATAGTCAGCTGTTAACGCGTCAAGCGGCTGGGCGGGCGAACCGGGTTTACAATGGCGAACTGCCTCCCCGGGCGAATCCCCAAAAGGCCAACGACGAGGCAGGGCCTTCGCGAAAGCGGATGCGTGGACAAGTGAAGCTTGCCCCCAGGAAGCGAAGGGTTCCTGCTTCATCTGACTCCGACGCCGACGACGAGGATGATGCCGAAGAACGTGACGGCGAGGAGGAAGGAGAGGAAGAGGAGGAGGTCGAGGCTGTGGCTGATAAGGCCGCAGGTGAGGCGGTTGAAGACCGCGCCGACACCCCCGGGTACACTCCTACCCCAAGTCCTGGTCACAACGAAACCGGGGTGGAGTCGAACAGCTCCCCCCTTCGTCGGAAGGATTTGGAAGGGGCGAAGGCCCTAGTTGCGTTCTCTTCGGGTGCGAGGGCGAAGGGAGGTCCTATCAAAAAGGTGGCTAAGAAGAAAGGACTCGTCGATGTCGCTCGCGTTTTTAGCGATGACGAGTCCTCCGACGGGACTCTGACTTCGCCCGCTGGTCGTAGCCTGGATCTTTCGGCCGCCCCCATTCCTCCACTTGGCGCCGCTGGAGTGGACGGTAGTACCGCCACTGGGGCTTCGGCTTCTGCGGAAAGGATTGTGACAGCCGCGGCGAAAGTATTCGGCAGTCCTCCGCATCAGCCGGTTGCATCGCCGCTGACTGAGGCGAAGGGAAAAAGAGCGGTCGCTGAGACGTCCGCTTTGGAATATTCGCTCTCGGTACCCCACTTCGCCCCTGGCGACTTCGAGACGCGAGCGGACCTCCTTCCTTTTGTAGAGGGGGTAAGCAATCTTGTACTGCCCGCCAGTGCCCCGAGCTTGTTCACCGAACTGAATGAGTTCGACGAGGGGTGCTCCGCTATAAAAAGCTTGGCTGTTCGGGTACGTTTTTTTTTATCTTTACTTTTCCTCTATCTTGTTTTTACAACTGACGCTTGTTCTCTTCGCCGCTCGTATTCTGCGCCTAGATCCTCGCGGCTCACTGCTCAATGGAGCGAACTGTGCAAGCCTGACTTGATGGGTTCAAAAGCCGTCTTCGGGCCAAGGATGACGAGCTAGGCCGTAAAAATCTGGAGATGGAGGCCCTTTCCAACACTCTTAAGGAGGCGAAGGCTGAAAACAAGCGGCTCCAATCGGAACTGGAGAAAATGAAAGAAGCCAGGGCCGAGGTCGATCGCTTAAAGGCCGAACTGGAGAAAGAGAAGGCCCATTCGGCGGTGCTCATCGACTATTACAACCTTACTGAGCCGAAGATGGAGTCTCTTCGCCAGAAGGCTAGCAGGGCCGAAGCGAGCGCCGCGGAGGAGTCGCGGCGGTTTTCGTGGGAGATGGCGAAGACCACCGAATCCATGAGAACAGCTTGCCAAACACTCCGCCTCGCCCTTACCGACATGGGCGCGAAGGTGCGCGAGGTCCCTACCGAGGATGCCTCAGCCTTCAACTTCTCGGAATGGACCCAGCAGGCCGGCGGATCGGTTTTGGACTGCGCCACCGTGTATGGCGACTGTTGTGCGTGCGTGTTAGCGGCCTTTACCATGGGCCTCCTGCAGCAGTTCGGCTGCGAGCATATCGCCGAGTTCCCCAAGTACACGAAGGGGGATTGGGAAATCAGTGCGCAAGACATTTCGCCTGCACTTCGTGCGTGGCGAAAACAATTTTGGCAGAAGGACGGCCGCTCCGCCGCTAAGGCGCGCCTTTTGGAGCAGCTGGCGAAAGCAGAGGCGGCGGACCTTTGTGAAGAGGAAGGCGCGGCGGCCAGAGGGGGTGGAGGCGATGCCCAGGACCACCCAGAGGTGTGAGGCCCTCCGTCCTTCTCTTAGATTTTCATAGTTTTCTTTTGGTGTTCGCTAAATGTGGCGAACCGTTGTATATTCGGCAAACTGCCGCTAAACCTTAAAAAAGGCTTTTTGGTATATTTTTTATTTCACTCGTTTCGCATTATGCCATACCTTCCCCTTCTTTCGCCTATGCTTACCATGCAAGATGTGTTTTGCCTTTTTTGCACTGTCTACCAGGG